ATCAGTGTAAAAAAAAACAATTTTTGTCCATCTGTTGATTGAAGGTTATAATAACTAATATGATTCTTTTAAACGAGCTATTCAAAGTTGCAATTAGATTTTCAGATTTTTGGCAAGTAGTGTATCATCAATAGATTTATGAAAGGTAAAAACAGCAAAGTAATCATTGAAACTGAATAAGTACGCCAACTAGATTTTAGACTGGGTTTTTTTACCATATTAATTATATTTTAATTACTAAACAACAAGTAGGCTTAGGCCAATATACGTAAATTAGAAAATTGAAAATATGTCCTTTTTAAAAATCTACTGAGAAATGCTAAGGAAACTTATCTTCAATATTTGAATTGATTAGTTTTTTTGATTTTTGAAAATATAATTTCTATTATTGACACCCGAAAATTAAAAAGATTAAACTATTGTCCTCGTCAATTAACAGATATATAAAAATTCAGTCCTTTATTCTATTACATTATACTCTTTAATTGTCTGTTAATCGATTTAAAGATTATTTGTAAAAGTTTCTGAATAAATGAAACATAATTTCGGTTTGTTCCGTGTTTCATAATCAGAAGTTAACACCTAATTTGATATTTTCAAAGGGTGGTTTAATGTTGTGATTAACTTACAATTTAATACATTTTTAGGAATAGGAGGAATTAATTTATCTTGATCAAAATGAGAAATCTTCAGCATTCTACAGGAGCTGAGCCCACGACAAGGACCTCTGAATGCGAACATCATAAGTAACCACGCTATATCGGCACCAAAAAACATATTCAATTTCTGCATTTACCGAGTACGAGTAACTAAATCAAAATTTAATTTGGACTTTGTCATAATATATACAATAATGGCAATTGGACTGAGTTACAGTTCGTGGTATTATTTTATACATAGTATGCACCCCATGTTAGTAACTGTAATATTTTTATATGAAAAACGGAACGCTATGTTTTACCATGTTTCGAATGTTAACCTTGTGTTTTGCTTTGCTTAATTTTAACTGCATTGTAAATATTTATGCTGTTGAATTCAGAGAAGAACCAAAGAGTGCTGTGGTAACTGCTGGAGAAGACAAATCTTTCGCTTGCGCGGTTAGTGGTATGCTCGACCAGCATCAATTTGCCTGGTATAAAGGAAATACACAATTAACACATGGAGAATATATTACGTCTACGCTTGAAAGAAAACGGTTATTGGTTACACAACTAGAAACATCTTTAGGAAACACATCGATTTTGACAGTCAACGAAGTTGTATCTAGCGACAGTGGTGCTTATACCTGCGCTATTTTGAACCCCGGTGGAAAGTATCTCAGTTCAGAAGCAGCACAACTAGTTGTTCATTCATTGCCTAGATCGCAATATCCTTTATGTTCTGTTTCTAAGACCATCGCTGTAGTCGGTTCAAAGATCACATTAACTTGCAAATCAGAAAATGTTCAGCCCCCAGTAGATTTATCCTGGACAGAAAACAACAAAAATATCAGAGAAGGAACAAGTACACAGAAAACAGAGGATGAAGTATTGAACGAATTTACATTCTTTCTGACTAAAGACAATCATGGCATGAAATTTATATGTAAACAGACCTCAGATCTCATGCCTAGTAACCACTCTTATTGTTCTGTAGGCCCTTTGAATGTCCGTTACAGACCCTATGTAAAGATTCAACATACAAGCCCAGTACTGCCAGCTATTGAAACTGTCATAATTTGTCAAACGTTTGCAAATCCACCAGTCGACAGTTATAAATGGACGTTTTACCCCCAAATCAAGGGTAGCGAATACACGGTGGATAGCACAGGGCAAGTATTAACAATTTTGAAACCAACCCTACAACGGAGTGGGACAAATGTAACGTGTACTGCTAGAAATCAAGAAGGAAAATCCTCGTCATCTATACAATTACTAGTAGCACTTAGTGATGTAAACCAAGGTGAACAGACAACTGGAAAATCTATTGACAAAACAAAGTCTGAAAATGAAGAAAAAATTAAGTTATCGTTAGATGTTGTCATCATTATTGTTGCTGGAGTTGTTGTTATCGTTGTACTTGTTGTTCTGGTTCCCGTCTACCATTATTGTTTGTGTCGTAATAATAACACTACCACAGTTAATTATTCAGGAAATATGGTAAATCAACCTGAAGTGTATTATGAGGCTAAAGAAGGAGTTATTTTAAGACACACGATACAAGATCGTTCATTGCCCCGTGTACCTACTACAGAAGTGTATGGTCACTGGAGACATTCAACAGCTTCACAAGTTCCCAATGATCTTGAGTCACATAGCTATACTTATATTGAAACAGAGAACGATTGACAAAATGTAATATTGCCTTTAAAATAACATATTTCCCAATTGGTATATCATTGCTAAACATTAAGATAGATATAGCACACATAAATCAAATATGAATTAATTGCAAGTCATTTTAACATTAGTTTGATTAGATTGACCAGCATTTTTTGGTGTTTTTTTCTTATTAAATCATTAAACATTGGCATTGACTATGCGTGTTCAGTGTTTCCCAAACTGTAGGTCGTAACCTAAAAGTGGGTTGCGGAAACGTCCCTCATAATTGAAACCTGATAGAACACTTTCGATATCTAGGTCTAGTCACCGCTTATAAGCTTTGTCTTTACATATCTGTAAAAGCAAATGAGATCTCGTTTCAGTCAAGGTGAGAATCCGAAAAATCGCTTGTTTATCGAACCCTCATTGAACCACTGTTTGTTAATGTAATGAAGTTGTTCTGTCTAATTTTAATTTTTTTATTTTGTTCTTATTTTATGTTATCTCTATAACAGAATAAATTAAACACGATGCCTTGCATACAATATAAATTGATTTATTGAAGGTGGAAAATGCCTGGTAAAATACGAGTTATCGTAAACAGTTATTCCTCGACTGCTATGACAATGATGTTAAGATTGGTGCCCTCTAGTTAGATATGAACAAATGGGATAGCATTGTGTTTATTTAAAATAAGATCCTAATCTCTAAAAAGCAACAGACTGTGACTTCTCATTTACGTAAGAGCAAAATACTCCTAGATACTAGTTATCTTTTAACTCTACGACAGATCTGACAATTATAGAATTGTGATTGGCACCCTCTAGTTAGATTTGAATCGTATACTGAGGTTTCGCCTCAATATCGACGGCAAAATTTCAAAATCTAGTCTAGAAAATCTTCCTGATAAATTCCTATTTCAAGAAATATTTTTTTTTAAGAAAAAGAAAAGTATTGCCAAAAATAAGTTTGTACTGATAGTAAGAAAAATAGAATTGAGAAGCTTCATTACTTCTTACAATATTTCTTAAACAGCAGAAGAAATTACTTAAGTATTTTTTTTCTTCAAAAAAGGTCATTATAGTGATAAAAACTTGCTAGGTAAGAACATAGGCCTATTCTTAGTAACAATATTCTTGGCAAGAATTCTTTTCTTACTAAAATATTCCTTTTTTATGGAAAATCCAAATAATCAGCCAAAATAAGAATGAAAAACGTACATGCTTAGTCTCAGGAACTGCCCACAGACTTTTCGCTATATGTACATTAATTACTTCTTAAGTGATCTTACAGGAATTAATCGTTTGATTGCTCTTGTTCTAATAAATAATAAAGCTTCTCAATTCCATTTTTCTTATTATCAGACAAATTTATTTCTTGAAAAGATTTTTTTTTTAATTATTTTTAATTTTAGACAATATTTCTTGATATAAGAATTATCAAGAATATTTTCTAGACTAGAGTTTAACATTTTCCTGCGAATAGGCTTATAGTTACACACGTGCGAGCAGGTACGACTATCACCTGTACAATGTAGTTTCCTTAACCTTAGATCGTTCAACCTTCTAGTACAACACTATTTATGAAGTTTAACCATTACGATTAGATAAATGTCGTGAGTAAAAGTTTTAGTGAAATTGTCTTATAAGCATTCCTATTGGCTTGCTGTAATGCTAAAACGTACAAACAATGACTTAACCATGTCCCAAAGTCATAAAAGCATAGTTATTCGATTTTTTGGTGTAACACATCTGTCAAAAATACAAGCCTTAAGCAGAGTGGGCTACTGCATCATTGATGTTCTCGTTTAAAATAACATATTATATGATATGCTGATTATTTTATATAGATAATTTTGATAATTGCATAAATGTAGTAATATTTGTTTGTACAAGGTAACAACAAAATAATACAATTTCCAAACAAATCTTAAACGCACTGTGATTTCTGTATACTTTTTATAAAAAAAGCTGTCTGTCAGTGGCTAAAAAATGACTGGTTTATTTACCATTTACCTTTTTTTTTGCATGTTTCTGTGAGTTATTAAATTATAAGCCTAATTATAATTTTTGAAAGAGAAAAAAAAAGTAAACGGACATTTAAATAACGCCTTTCCTCTATCATTCTGTATAGACAATGAAGCTTTCTGGAGTGCCAATCAAACTTAACAACTGACCAATTAGAACAGTGCTAGGAATACGCGCGTGTCCAACAAACACACGTGTTGTCCCAAAAAACGCACGTGCTGGCGTATGTTTTTACACTGTCGTTTTGTGGGATCATAGCAACGACACTTAGGGGCGGGGCTTAGCGGAAAAGTCCATTAAATTGGCTGGTAATTAATTTAAGATTTTTTATAAAAATATGTGTATCAGTTTAAGAAAACATTTTTTTGTCGATCTGTTGGTTGAACGTTAATAACTAATTTTGATCGTTTTAAATGAGCTATTCAAAGTTGCAATTAAGTTTTCAGATTTTTGGTAAGTAGTATATCATTAATAGATTTATGAAAGGTAAAAACAGTAAATAAACATTGAAATTGAATAAATACGCCTACTAGATTTTAGAATGCGTTCTTTTAATCGTATTAATTATATTTTAATTATTAAACCACAAGTAGGAGCTTAGGCCTATATACGTAAATTAGAATATTGAAAATATTTTTTTTAAATATACTGTCTGAGAAATGCTAATGAAACTTTAAAAAAATAATCTTCAATATTTGAATTTATTAGTTTGTTAATTATTTAAACTATATTTTTTATTATTGACACCCGAAAATTAAAATGATAAAAATATTTACCTCGTCAATTAACAGATTTATAAAAATGCAGTCCTTTATTCTATTGCATTATGCTCTTAAATTGTCTGTTAATCGATTTAAAGATTATTTGTAGTAAAAGTCTCTGAATAAATGAAACATATTCGGTTTGTTCCGTGTTTCTTAACACCTAATTTGGTATTTTCAAAGGGCGGTTTAATGTTGTAATTAATTTACAATTTAATACGTCTTTAAACTGTGCGTCACATAATGGTGCTAAAGGAATATAATTTATCTTGATCAAAATGAGAAATCTTCAGCATTTTGAATGAGCTGAGCCAAAGACAAGGATCTCTGAAGGCGAACATCATAACTAACCATGCTATATCAGCACTAATACATACTATATTCAATTTCTACATTTACTGAATACGAGTAACTAAATCAAAATTTCATTTGGATTTTGTCATAATATATATAATAATGGCAATTGGACTGAGTTACAGTTCTTGGTATTATTTGATACATAGTACGCACCCCATGTTTTAGTAACTGTTATATTTTTATGTGAAAAACGGCACGCTATGTTTTACCATGTTTCGAATGTTAACCTTGTGCTTTGCTTTGTTAAATATTAACTGTATTGTAAAAATTTATGCTGTTGAATTTAGAGAAGAACCAAAGAGTGCAGTAGTAACTGCTGGAGAAGACAAACCTTTCGTTTGCGCGGTTAGTGGTATGCTCGACCAGCATCAATTTGCCTGGTATAAAGGAAACACACAATTAACACATGGAGAATATATTACGTCTACGCCTGGAAATGAACGGTTATTGGTTACACAACTAGAAACATCTTTAGGAAACACATCGATTTTGACAGTCAACGACGTTGTATCCAGCGACAGTGGTGCTTATACCTGCGCTATTTTCAACCCCAGTGGAAGGTATCTTCGTTCAGAACCAGCAAAACTAGTTGTTCGTTCATTGCCTGGATCGCATTATCCTTTATGTTCTGTTTCTAAGACCATCGCTGTAGTCGGTTCAGAGATCACGTTAACTTGCAAATCAGAAAATGTTCAGCCCCCAGTGGATTTAACCTGGACAGAAGACAACAAAATTATTAGAGATGGAACAAGTACGCTGAAAACTGTGGATGAAGTAATGAACGAATTTACATTACTTCTGGCTAAAGACAATCATGGCATGAAATTTATATGTAAACAGACCTCAGATCTCATGCCTAGTAACCACTCTTATTGTTCTGTAGGCCCTTTGAATGTCCGTTACAGACCCTATGTAAAGATTCAACATACATACACATCTCTGTCATATTTTGTCAAACATTTGCAAATCCACCAGTTGACAGTTACAAGTGGACGTTCTACCCCCAAATCAAGGGTAGCGAATACACGGTGGATAGCACAGGGCAAGTATTAACAATTTTGAAACCAACCCTACAACAGAGTGAGACAAATGTAACGTGTACTGCTGGAAATGAAGTCGGAAAATCCTCGTCATCAATACAATTACTAGTAACACTTAGTGATGTAAACCAAGGTGAACATACAACTGGAAAATCTATTGACAAAACAAAGTCTGAAAATGAAGGAAGAATTAATTTATCATTAGATGTTGTCATCATTATCGTTGCTGGTGTTGTTATTATCGTCGTACTTGTTGTTCTGGTTCCCGTCTACCATTATTGTTTGTGCCGTAATAATGACACTATGACAGTTAATTATTCAGGAAATATGGTAACTCAACCTGAAGTGTATTATGAGGCTAAAGAAGGAATTATTTTAAGACATACGATACAAGATCGTTCCTTGCCTCGTGTTCCTACTACAGAAGTGTATGGTCATTGGAGACATTCAACAGCTTCGCAAGTTCCCAATGATCTTGAGTCACATAGTTATACTTATATTGATACCGAGAATGATTGACAAAATGTAATAATGTCTTTAAAAGAATATATTTCCCAATAAGTATAGACCTATAATTTGCTAATTATTATGATAGATAATAACACACTTAAATCATAATAACACACTTGAATTATTGCACATTTCAACTTAACGTTAGTGGAATAGTAATGAAATGAATGATCAGCATTTTCTGAGTTTTTTTTTCCAAATCATCAAATATTGCCATTGGCTATGCGTTTTTAGTGCTTTCCAAACTGTAGGGCGCATCCAAAAAGGGACCACCAATTTTTTAAGTGGGTTAGGGAAACGACTGTGTTGATATAAAACTTATCACGTAATTTAGAGAAGAAAAACATCGATTACCATAAGTATTTAAATTGTGATCAAACTAGTTAATAATTACAATATATACACTGTATTTGTATTGATGCATGTACATGTGCTCAACGCACAGGAGACCGAAGCATAAAAAAACGGGGTTTTTTTTTAAATTTTGGATGAGATTGCAGGCAATTGATTGCACATTCATAACCGCAAGACGATTTAGAGGTTCTCGT